CTGATATTATTACAAGCGGTATTATTCTTGGGCCTTAATAATAAAATATAATAATTGATTTAATGTATATCCACATGATTTAATATATATATCCATGTGGAGTATTTTAATAGGCGAGGCCAAAATTAGGTAACAACAATGGTGATACGCCAAAACCGTGATAGTTCGGATGGGAAAAAGTATTTTACCCTTATAAATATAGATATGATTGGTTAGATGTTAGGGATGTCAATAAAACCCATAGGGTCGTGTTACCAGCGGGTTACCCACATTTTTGGGTCGGGTAAACACGATATGATTGGGTTTCGAGTCGAGTTAGGGTAGAATTATGCTACCCGAACCCCGTGTCGGGTCGGGTCGGGTACGGGTATAGTAGGCAAATCCATTACCCGACCCGATTACCTTACCCGTTTACCCGCAACCATTGAATCATATATACATACATATACATATATATCTTTATAACTTATAATAAATATAAAAGTAGTCATGTGTTATTTTTAAAAATTAGATTATCTATTATAATTTTGATTAAGGGTTAAATTTATTTTATTTTTTATAATTTTATTATCATTTTTTGTTAATTGTATAATAAAAATAAATATTTAAGTTTAAATGTTATAATATTAAATAGACTATAAAAGATAAATAATCATATCTTATTATTTATTCCAAAAATAATATATTTTTTTATAGTTTTTTATTGTCAACCTTAGTTAATAAATTATTTCTTACATTATAATTAATTGTGAAATTATTTTATTTTATTTTTTCATATCAAATGAGATGGGTCGAGAAAAACTTAAATTTAACACTCGGGTTACCCTTTTACCCGACGAAAACCCACTAACCCGCCGGGTAAAACCCAACCCGAACCCGAAGATCACTAGTCGGGTAACGAGTCAAGTTTGGGTAGGGTAAACTATATGCGGGTCGGGTTCGAGTTTGTCAAAACCCGTACCCAACCCGACCCATTTACATCCCTATTAGATGTTAATATCTTGTTACTTTCCTTCCATAAATAATTAGAAATGTATGTTTGGTATTTAACGTTGTAAAAAGTGAAATGTTAATAATTGAAAAGGTTTGAAATATATCACATAAAATTTAAAAAGGTGTTTATGTGTACTTTAACCAAAACTTTTTCTTTTTTTTTTTTAAAAAAAAATGATTAATAGTGTTCTCACTTCTAGGGTGCACAAAATTCGGTTAACCAACCGAAAACTGAAAATTCAGTTTGGACCAAAATTGAATATTTGGTTCGGTTTTCAGTTTACAGTTTCTTAAATTTTTGGTTTTCGGTTGTTTGAATATATTCTCCGTCTAACCGAATCGAACCGAAAACCGATATTATACATATAAGTTGTACAAGCCAAATGTAAAAGCCCAATATAATGATATAATTTTCAGTCCACTAGATATTAAATTTTATGGAATTCCACATGCCGGATCCACTGCCCACCCACCACCATGAGATCCACCAGGCAGGCCCAACACCATGGAACACCTCATCTTATCTATCAGTGTCATCTGTGTTAAGAAGTGAATGAAAATAACAATTATTTATAGTAATTATGTGATTTATTTGCAGAAATTATTGGACAATTGAAAATGGCAATAAATATATGTAGTCACATGCATTTATTTTCTTAACAATTAATTAAAGCATTTCACATAAACTAGTACGTACCCCGTGCGATGCGCGTGACATAGATAGTAAATGAGTTATTTCACATGCTCTGTCCGTTTAAGTCTAAAAAGTAATAGAGCTATCATCAAATTTTCACCTATTTTAATCATCGTTAAGTCTAGAAAATAATAAAGTTATAATTTATTTTTCACCTCTTACAATCAACGTTGTTTTTTTAGCCCGAACATTAAATATGAGCATGTTATGGCTAGCTTGTAAAATAAATAATATATTATCCCACTAACACATTTATACTAATATAAATTTGATTTTAGTATATAAATTTATTCATTGATATACGAGAAAATAACAATTTTACTTATTATTATTCATTATATAATACTTAATTATTGTTTTATTATAAACTTTGTTGTCATAGAATGTCATTATTATTTATAAAATTTACAAAAGTTGTACGTCTTCTTTTTATTTTTATTTTATGAAATGAAAAATATTTAAAACACATTAGTGTTATTTATGTAATCAATTTAAAATATGTAAATAAATTTAAAATTAAATAGTGTATAAAGATTTTACAATATATACACACATGTTTTTTAAACTTAATTTTGTATGCTAATTAAACAACTTTGATTTAGCAAATTTCCAAAAACTCAATCCCTTCTATAATCCAGATTTTTCTAATTTGCATTATAAGTATTTATAATTTATTTAGCATACTCTAGGATGAAAAGATATTTTACAACATTTTCATTATAGAAATAAATATAATAATAATAATAATAATAATAATAATAATAATAATAATAATAATAATAATAATAATAAAAGCAATCATGGGTGCCAATAATATAAAATAAATTTTAAAACAGTTAATTTATTTCAGTATTAATTGACCAGTAATAAAACTATTTGATATATATGATCATTATTTCTTAAATGATAAATTATATTAATTTGAAAAATAATTTATTTTATATATAACAAAATAAAACTTAAGAAAAAATATATTGCCAAAACTTAATTAACCTACTTGATTTCGCCTGA